TACCAAACACAACTGATCCCCACAACAAATTCCTTTTTTCCGTGTGTGCTCTGACTGTTCTGCGGTCCGTCAATCTGCTTTCCAGAGTGCTCTGTCTTTCGTTTATCGGCGTGGCTCCGCCCGCAGACGCGGTTGTTGCTGCTGCCGCAGCAGCTGGTGCTAGAGACGGGGTATACGGTTGGCGGGTAGGCGGGGGAATCTGGTCTTAGTCACTCCATATCCGGGAAGTGGGTGTCGTCGTGGAGTCGCAGTCGCAATCGCAGGCGGCGGAGGGCCCAGGGGCCCAGGGGCCCAGGGGCCCAGGGGCCCAGGGGCCCAGGGGCCCAGGGGCCCAGGGTGCTTATTGGTCCCGGCCGGACCTGGGCCGCTGCTGGACACGTCTGGCGGCTGCAGCTGCAGCTGCGGTGCGTATGATCTAATCGCGAGGCGCGGCTGACATTTGCGGGGACTTCCCTCTCACTCGGCGGCCTCGCCGCGCGGCCTGGCCTGGCCGCCTCCTCCTCTGGCAGCAAGCGCGGCGCGGACAAATCTGCCTCCCTGTTGGCAGCGCGGGGAAGGCACGCCGCCGCCGCCGCGCTAAGGTCCTGCGGAATGCGATATGCGCGCCGAATGCAGCCGAGCAGAGGCTTGGCACTCCCCTCTCTTCTCTTCCTGACCGCCCCGCTCCTTCCCACCTGTTGCAGATGCTGCCGCGCATGAACCCCACCATGGACCGCTGCACCGACTTCTGGAGCTACTCGTGCGGCGGCTGGCTGGACTCGACGCCGCTGCCGCCCTCGGTGGGCCACTGGGACGAGCAGGAGCAGATGAGAGCACAAAGTGAGGGCAGACACCCAACCCAGGCCCGCACCCTCGACAGGGGGGAAATGTTCACCGTAAAAGTCTAACTGATTAATGTGCTCCCATTTCAGGTCGAGATAGAACTCGGAGACTGATCTCCATGCTCAACCACCCAACAAACTTCAAGTCTGTGCCCTGGAAATTAAAATATTTTTACGAGTCGTGCATGGCCCTGGATAACATTGAAGCTGACCGGGAGAGACCACTAACGAAGATTATAAGTGAACTAGGTAAAAACCACAACTTAAAATATGCCACCAATATCTTGCTTTAATGTTACACAGTCTATCTAAGTCTTTGATACCTTGTAGGGGGTTGGCATGTGAAACGCGAGTTTTCCATGCTATCATGGGACTATAAACGAGTCCTCACTCTGTTGCACTCCAAATATGGAGTAGAGCCATTTTTCAGCATATCAGTGGTAACAGATGTCAGGCGTCCTCAACAGAGCATCATCAAGGTATGTTCTGTTAATTCTATATCCAGGGCAAGTTTTTGGTTTTATTTAGGCTTTCTTGAATTTTTGTTAATTGCATTTGCATATTTTAGCTAGGACCATCTGGCTTAGGACTGCCAGATCGCTCTTACTACTACCGCCCCGTTAACAGTCCAGTAAGTAGTTTTACATATTTATTGGCTAGGCAATTAAATTAATTGTGAACTAATCATCATTTCTACGGAACAGGTTGTATTGGCATACAAACGCTACTTAAAAGATGTGGCCCAACTCTTAGGTGCTATTAATACCGATGCATCTTCCTTTAGTGATGAAATGTTCTATTTTGAAAGACGAATCGCAGAAATTATGTCTGAGAACACTTCACTTAAAATAGATCCAATTGCATCATACCATCGCATTACACTTGCAGATTTAAAAGTGTCAGCTCCCTCTGTAAGTCAGCTGTCATAAAATTATAATTCTATCTACCTACCTACCTATACATAGTAGAGAGCCTTAAATTGTTTCACAATGATACTTACATTAATTATTTTGTGTTGTAGATACCTCTTCATGACATTCTATTGGCTAAATTTCCACATGGTAACATTGATGATTCTATGGCATTGCTTGTACCCTCCAAAATGTATCTAAGCAAGATCTCTTCCATCATTGCCACAACAGATAGAGGGTAAGAAATAAAATACAATAATTCAACTGATTTTATTTATGAT